TATCAACGCAATTTAACCATTAAGTTGGATGCCTTTAAACAGACCTTATCTTAAATAGGCGGTTTGAAAACCTTTTTGTCGGAGGTTTCTATTCAGATAACGCTAAGAGCCAAGATTTGACAGTATAGTAAAGAATAATGTTATGAAATAAAGAATGAAGTGTACACAGCTTGCTCAAATTTCCATGATCAGCATTTTAAATGTATAATAAATGATGAAGAGATAGGTTTGTTAACTATAGGTGAATTTGTTCAGAGCACTTTGATAAAAAGAGGTCGTACTGTGCTCTCCACGTCCGTTACAAAAAATGTCTTGTTATGCATCTTTACAGTTTAATTTTGGTCTGGATTAGGCCTGATAGTGAAAATGACAATGTTTCTGTAACCGTAATATAGTAAAAAAAAGGGGCAGCTCTTGGGATGATCATAAATAGGATACCTGAATGGTTTTAAAAATCAGATACAAGATGAATCTGACGTTTGAAAAAAATCTGGCGCGACGTGGCATGTGATGAATCGCTCAAAATAATGCATTATAATAAACTCATGTTTCGCCATCTCCGTTTCCTCGGTAGAAATGCCTTTTGAAAAAGCGTGAGATACCACCACCCGTTTTTGCACGGAGACTCTGTTTCCTAGATCCCGGAGTGGATCCCAAACCTGCACCCCCAAGAATCTGGTCACCTTCACCCGAGAATCCATTGTCACCAGTTGCTCCGCCAGGAAAGCTAATGGAGTCACGCACAATTCCGACTGATGTTGCTAGTCGAGTTGCACGCACACGATCCTCCTCAACTCGTCTGTGACCAGCCTCAATTTGTCCGACAAGACCAACGAGCAATTCATCGACGCGGTGGTTCAGTGAAACAGAGACTTCAAAGAACCCAGCTGAGTATGCCGAAGCCAGGTTTTTCCCATCTAAGAGGAGGAAAAGGCATAATACATATAATTATTTTTCGTTTATCCGTAGGGTTTTGAGACTATCAGTAACTCAGAAATGTGGAATGTATTCAGCCTATTTCGTTTAAGGTGGTGAGAGACTGGTAGTTGAATATTTCTACAATATTATTAAACCTTACAGTTCCATTAATATTCACATATCCTTGCTTTCGATAAAGTAGTGCCTTCTAAGTTGAAGTGGAATTCAGTTTAGACCTCGCATAAGTCCCCAAGCGGGAAACCAGTAAATAAGATAGATGAGATGGAAAGCAACGATATGTGAAATTCTCTATAACTATAAAGTCTAGTCATATCATTGAGGAAAAATTCTACTACTAGTCCTTCATTACCTTAAGCGAAATAGGGTGAATATATCTCATGTTATACATATAATTATCTGTTGACCTCATTTTCAATTGTACGAGCAATTAAATTTATCCATGATATATTAGTATATATTTGTTTATAAATTATACTTCGTTCCATGCAAGTGTATATTGAGTTCATATCTTCTCGAGTCAAAGATGCCGAGTTAAAAACATGATAGAAGCTAAGCTCTGCAATATACAAAATAGGGATTTAGCATGCTATGTGTAGCAAAGTGTAGTATGGTAATCAAATCCCATTTAATTTAGTTTGGGATAATTCAGTTATCATTTCATGAAAATTCAAGCTCAGTGCAAGGTATTTTTAGTAATAAACAAAAGTGAAAGATCGAAAATTTGTTTTTCTATTTAATATTAAGGT